TAGGTACATGTAGAAATAGTAGTTATGACACCAGTTATATGTTACTCCTTTCTTTGGTACGTCCGGTAAGAGATAGCGTGATATTCTCTCCGTACCCCTTCCACCCAGTACATTGTCCGTTCTCTTCTGCACTAGCGTGGGGGATTATCAGTGTAGTATTTTAAACTTTGCGTATACCGAGTGTTTTTCAAAACTCGCTCACCCCTAAAACTTTTGTACTTGTTACCCTAACTTTCTTGCTTTAAATGAGACGCCATTTGTATTTGCCCTTGTTTCAATAGAAAACTACATAACACGAGAATGACACCTCATTTGTCACTTTTTGACGTTTGATCTCCAAATTATTCAGATTAAGTATTGCATATCCTCTACAGACTCTTATGGAAATAGTTGAAGCGCATTTTTGGAATTATATCAATTTTTACAAATGGAAAGGGTGTGACTCATTAGCATATTCTGAAAGAGCATTTTCTAAGAAACAATAATTTAGTACCTACCACAAAATGGTTTATTCAAATATTAAACTAAAATTTTCCTAAATTATTTAGAATGCTACAAAATTCCTTGATTTAGGTACCTATCTGAAATAAGTAATGAGCTAGCGATTGTATGATATTAAATTGTTCGTTAGAAAATGTTCTTTCAGAATATGCTAATGAGACACACCCTTTCCATTTGAAAAAATTGATATAAATCCAAAAATGCGCTTCAACTGTTTCCAAAAGAGTCTTTAGAGGATATGAAATACTTGAAAGTAAGATCGAAACAAATTTTCCCAGGTCCCTTGGTGCCAAATTGAGCAATTTCACTAATTCATGGTGCATTTTCTAACGAACAATTTAATGTCACACAACCTATCTATTTTACCAGACAAAGAGGTAATAATACGAAATCTTTATTAGATAGAAAAAGACACAGAACGCTTATTGCGCAAGACGAGGCAAAACGTACCAAATTATGTTAGACTTACGTATAGCAATCCGTTCTAATTATTTGCACGGGATAAAAAAGGAAGGAGGAAAACCGCGTGACGTGCAACCTATCTGTCAATCAAAAACACAAACAATTGAAAATCGATCACGTGTCAAGCTGCGTCAAGTTGAATATCAAGCATAATTTTATCCTTGTCAGACCACGGGCAATGAACAAGGACAAGGAGATGCCCAGCGTGCAAAAGGATTATTTTAAACCTGTACTAGTTAGCCAATAAAAATGCATTGCCTCGTGTTGTGCGCGCATACAGGTAAAAATAGATAGGTCTATTGCTAGTTCATTACTTATTTTAGATATCTAAATTAAGGAATTTTCGAGCATTCTAAATAATTTAGGAAAATTTTAGTTCAATATTTGGGGCGCGTTTGGGTTGACGCTCGGCGGAGCGAGCAGAGCGATTAAGGAGTAACGTGACATCACAGGGAGTACACCGTGTCAAGCCAAATAAACTTGTGCAAAAATGCTGGGTTGAGCGATCAGCTGATTATTGTATATTTTTAGCATATATTTTTTGGAGTCCGGGCCCGCATTTCGCATTTGCACCAGATTTTTCTCGTTTGTTTTGCATTTGAGTCGATAATTTTCAAACAGCCCCTTTTGCTTTTGTGTTCTGCAAAAAAATGTCGTGCTACATAAACAATAAAACGCACCTAAACACTCTGAGGCTGCCAAGAGTGCAAGTTCCCTTGGAAAAATATGTTCAATAATAATGTTGAGGACTATCGAGAAAATTTAATTAAAAGTAAACAATTATGCAGAATTTACTAGCTATTTGATTGTAAACATTTAAACAAACTAGCTAAACCTATCCACTTAACAAGTATATGTTAAAATTCAGGATTGTTTATTTATCTTCTTATCATGGAAAATAGGTTAGGTTATACAAACATATTAAACTGCGCATGCACGCTCCAGCTGCCCACCCCACAAACTCGGAGTTTATCGAGCTCGCTCTGAGCGCTCAAAATATGTCAAACATCTCTGGAGAACAGCATCGCTGTGGAATAAACTCCCTGCGACGGTTTTCCCTGCAGGTTACAACCTGAACCGTTTCAAGACCAACATACACCGACATTTCCGCGCACTTGCCGCTTCTCGAGCGTGATAGGACATTTCCTTGCGAGTGCGCATATCCGTAAAAAAAAAAAAAAAAAACAAACACAATCAAGCGTTGTCGGAGCTTCAAAAATAACGGAAGAGAGACAAAAGTGCAAGCTCTGAGTGCATCGAGCGTGACCCCAAACGCGCCCTTGAATAAACCATTTGGGAGGTACTAAATTATTGTTCGTAAGAAAATGCTCTTTTGCAATATGCTAATGAGCTACAGCCTTTCCATTTGAAAAATATAATATACCCTTACCAAAAATGCACTCCTATTTTTAAATGAGCCTGTAGAGTACCTATATAAAATACAAAATTAGATCAAAACAAATTTTTCCAGGTCTCTTGGTGCGTAATTAAGCATTTTTACTAATTCATGGTGCTCTAGATACAAAAGTAGAAATCTTATATAATTTGTAGATAAAAAGTGGAAAAGTGACAAATGAGGTGTCATTGTATTCGTAATGTACAGTTGCGGCCATTGGAATTGGCACAAACTTTAAGGACGCACCTCGTAGTGCATCAAAGTCTGACTTTTTTAACAAGCCGGTAATGCCAAAATTGTGTCAAAGTGATAAGTCAGTGGCAAACTAGAACAGTTTTATTATTTATCTTTCATAATCATCATATTACTCACGCCACTGACTACTTTTGTTGGTTACAGTTTTTGTCAGATTTTGATGCAATACGAGTTGCTTTCAAAAAGTTTGTGCCAATTCCAATGGCCGCAACTGTACATAGTTTTCTAGTGAATAGGTAAAAATATACCTGGCGTTTCATTTGAAATAAAAAAATTAGGGTCACTTCCGTTCAAACTGGAAGTGATAATCAATGATCGAATACGCCAATTAATCCATATTCGGGTCATAAATAAATACAACAAATTTAATTTGTTTATTTCTCAAAATAAAAAAGTTATAGGAGTGAGTGAGGGTCTTCAACTCCCAGTTTTAAGATTTTTTTCCCAGCATATTTTAAAATTCATGTATTGTTCTGAATCTTCCTTCTTAGATTAATTGCAAGAAAATATGGAAACCTTTTATAACGTACCTAACCTTTTCGCAGCCGTTCAGGTATATCCGACAAGTATTGACCTCCTGGCTCCTACCTATCATTCGTAGCAATTATGTTTCAAACTTATTAATTTGATTTATTTTCAAAAGATACACACTACGTGGATGTCCTAATACCGTGAACAAGCCCCACACTGATACACAATTATACACTCGAAGAGCGCCATCTACGTAAAACTCACCAAAATGGGTGAACTAAATTTTCGGGAGTAAGGTACGCTATGAGGACCCACATGATATATACACACTCACACGCACACGCACAGGCATTCACAGTTTCCCAATATTTACCGCAAATATGAATAGGAGCTTTTTGAAATTTAATTGTGTGGTTTATTACTACTATGGGAGGACCCTACCAAAATAATTCTATCAGAGGACGTCCTCATAAGGTATGTCCTAATAAGGCAGTGCATTGGCGGACCAATAGCGGCGTAGTTACTCATGGCAACTTTCGAAGTGAAGAAATACTTTTAAAACCGGGAAACGAGGCAGGAATCAATATCACTAATATCAGGCCTTACTTCTGTCGCGGACGGGTAAAATTCCGTGTAAGGATCAAAAGGCTTTTCTAGCGGCTGCTATGAACTAACGGTCGTTATCCAGGAAAATAGAATGTGAACTAGAGGTAAGTAACCGATCTTTAATATCTGTAATTGTATGCAGGGTCTCACAAATTTGATGTTCACCATTGACATTGGCATCTCGGAAATAGTTAGAGATTCAGGGTCGGTTAAATAAGGATAAAATTGTGGTTTCCGTTATTGAGATAAGAGAGGATTTCGAATAAATTAAGAAAGTTCGCGAAACTTGTTATCAGCGAAAATTATTAATATTATTTGACTATAAATTTTTCAGAAAAATTATTTAATTTAAAATTTATTATTTCGCAACAACGGTAAATTACGATTTTCTACTTCCTAATTAAAATTTTTAGGAATGACTGCGATTACTTATGAGGAAGCACACGCGGCCATTATTTGGGTTAGTTAGGAAATTTCTAAATGATAAATTTACTCCGAGAAATTTCCTCCAAAGGACGGAGGATGTAGAACCCCATTCTTTTTTGATAGATCGATGGACTAAAATACCTGTAACCCTCATATCAAATTTGATCATCCCATCACCTGCCGTTTGGTTACAAACCGAGAAAAACCAATTAACTTTTTTTTTTTTGGAAAAAATATGTAACATCTCATCCTTCACAAGCCCCTTATGCTAGATTTCAAATTAAACACTTGACAGGTGACGAGTGCCAATTAGCGTATGTCAAAATACGGACCACGCCCTAAAATATGGCATAGCACACCTGACCATCATTTGCGTTGGTTCAGAGATTCTCTACTGATGACGTATTGGCGTCGATTACTTGGGTTAATTTGGGTTAGTTCAGAGATTTTTTACTGATGACGATCATTTGGCGTAGTTCGGAGATTTTGTACTAATGACGTATTGGCATCGCGACGCCATGGTACCGTTGACGCATGCGCAGATGTCGGAGGATGCAGAACGAACCATGTATCTCTACTTGTGAGCAAATAGTAATCCAGGTGCATTATATCAGGAAATCTTGGTGGCCATTAAATTGTTCCATTTCTTCCTATCCAATGAGCTCGATTTAGATCGTCAAAGTATTCCGTCAATTCAAATTTGACGTAACATCGGACTCGACTAGGACTTCTGTCTTATATTTATCCAATTTTCCTCTTATTTTCCAAAGCTCAAGACAAAAAAATAAGTTTTTTTTTTCTGAACCGTTACATCTCTGGACAGAATCAGAAAAATTACATTAACCAGTCACCTGAGCTTATTATGAGTTTGGATTATTAAAGGTGGACATTTTTAGTTCGAGAGCAAAACTGAAGCAAAAGTTGAAGACGCGAATAAAACATTAAGAAACAACACAAAAAGATCCATGAAATTTATTCGTAAGGATGACGCCTTCCAACGTTATCACCTGGGTAAAACGTATAAGACACTCTGTGAAAAATATAATATAATGTTTAAGAATTAAAAAAATAATAATAAAAGTAGAATAAAATACAATAAAAAGAGAAAACATAACAGTACAAATATATCACTCTCTCTCTCACACACACACCATCTCTTACAAACCCATTTATTAAAAAATATTATGGACCGTCAGCTAATGAGATTTTGCTGACCGATTTTCTCGCTTCGGGGATTTCAACCACTGAAAATTATGTCAGTGCTGAGCGTAAAAAATGAAAATTAAGCAACCGGACGTCTGCTAGGTATATGGAAAATCTCCTTTCCTTTTGCAACGGCCGGAAAATATACCTAAACAGCTTACCGGCTTATGGTAATTTTTTTTCTGGTTTCTAACGATAGGTATCAAATTTGATCCTGTCGATTCCCATAAGTGGGAAAACGATCAGCAACCGAATATTCTTCCACAAGATCGCGCCCTTATTTCAATCATTTCAGTACGTGTAAACCTTATGGCTTTGGTTTTTCATTATTAGATTATTTTTTAATGCTAATGTGTTAAAATGCCGTGAAAGAGAAATTGAAAAAATGACCTATTTTGCTCTGCAAAAGGAAAATAAATTTTCCATATGCCTAGCAGACGTCCAGTCGCTAAATTTCCATTTTTTGTGATCAGCACTGACATAATTTTCAGTGGTTGAAATCCCCGAAGAGAGAAAATCGGTCGGCAAAATCTGTCATTAGCTGATGGTCTATTAGGCATTTAGCGTTCATCATGATAAATTATATAAATTTTCTGTTATCTCACAAAGTCAAATTAGGATATTTGCCTTCCTTTACAATTGTTATAGCTTCCAAAATCGATACTTTGTCCAGCTCTGATTGAGTAGGTTTTTCATTATCCAAACAAATATCCTTAGCCCTTTCTCCAAATAATTCCAGCACCCTAACTCTGTAATCAACTGTTGTTGAAACATTATTACCAGTTAACCTCAAATTTTCTAAACAAGGTAGCTTTCCCAAATACCGCAGTTCTTCAACTTCAGTGATTTTGTTGCAACTCAAGTCCAAGTTTTGTAGAGAATATAATTTATGAAATCCTTTTGTACTAACAATATTATTTTGAGACAAATTTAAAGTTTGTACGTTGCCCATTTTTGTTTGCAACTGATCGCATATTGTAAGTAAATTCTTCGTCATGCTGAGTTGTTTGAGTTTTGTTAAATGAGTAAGATTCGAGATTGTTGATATTTTGTTGTCATCGAGTATAAGGTATTTTAAATTTTCTGCTAATGCTATGGCGTTGTCTATTTCCACTAAATTATTATTACTCAGATCTAAAGTTTCCAAAGCTATCCATTTCTGAAAAAAAAAGGATGTGAACTAATATGGACAATAGAGAAAGACGATGTTGTTATGCAATGAGTTAACCCATTCTTCCCAAGACAATATTTTACAGCAATAAAAAAATGATTACGCCCTTTAAGATCACTAGATAGGTTAGACCTTTTCGGCCTAGAAATACAGGAACCAAATCGATCTATATACTTTGACAGGCTGAATTTAACTGGAGATTTTTAATTTAATTTTTAATCATGGATTAAATTCAAAGTTGGTGTCAAATGATAGTTTATAGAAATCTAAGATCTAAGATAGGAATGTGAAATCAGTTTCCTCTAAAATTAACCATTCAGGTTTTACAACCTGTAAAAGTTGCAAAAAGTCAATTTTTAACTGTCAATATTTCCAAAACAGTTAAACTTAGGTATAGGGTATACCACATGAAATCTGCTCAGAATTTTACGTAGAATCCAAGTATGCAATCTCATACAGGGTGTCTCATTTAAAATAGGCAAGTTGATGTCTGCTTCCGGTATAACCAGAAGTGCCACCATCTTGAAAATATCGGGTTGCCCCCATTGATTCATTGATATTAGTAAACTGTCAATTTTCAAAAAATTTCTTCATACAGTTTTTCATACAGTGTGCGCCATAAAGTTGGGTACATATGGGAAAATTCTTAATTATTCCTTTTTTTAAAAAATTTTTTTTGGGGATCGTTTAGGCATGTTCGATAACCAAAAAATCGATTATGAGTCATAATTTATGACACATGTCATGCGCATATCGGAGAAAAAACTACTTATTTTACCCATACCATTAAATGGAAAATCGAAAATATTTTTATTTCAAAAATAGCTTTATTCAACTACTTAAACTACATAAAAAGGGGGTTGAATGCTGTGTGCACGCTAAGTAGTTAAGCAAAGGAAGGTTTTGTATATAATAAAATTTTGCACGATATACAAAACCTTCCTTTGCTTAAACTACATAAGTTTGATATCAAACGAATCGATTCTTTTGCGAAATTCACACTTGAAGGTCATAAATTAGAAAATACCGTCCGGTCGTGTCGCTATAACTGTACCCATGTCCCTTTTTGCAAATTTTCTGGTCATCAGAAAAATAACATGACCTGTGTCATAATCGATTTTTTGGTTATCGAACATGCCCTAACGATCCCCAAAAAAAGTTTTTTGAAAAAAGGAATTAAGAATTTTCCCATATGTACCCAACTTTATGGCACACACTGTATATAGATCGATTTGGTTCCCAGTGGGACACCCGACAGCCTGTATAGTGACAAGTCAATGACAAAATTTCTAGGAACAAATCACATGGCGTGCAAGTTTCTCGGGAATGTAAATAAAAAAAACATAATTATGGATGAAATATTCCCTTTTGATTGATAAAAATTTATTGGGTAGGTATAGTTGTGGCCATTGGAATTGGCACAAACTTTTTGAACGCACCTCCTATAGAATCAAAATGTGACTTTTTTAACAAGCCATAAATGACAAAATTGTGTCAGTTTTGGCTTTATACAGGGAGCATTCAAGAAGTTTGTGCCAATTCCAATGGCCACGACTGTACCTACATAGGAAAACTAACTAAGAGGATTCGTGATGCTTTCTAACAAAAACTTCATGGGAAAATAGTTTCTGTTGTGAAAAAAAAAACAAGGCAGTAAACAAATCTAGAAAAAAAAACGCGTTACTTAATTGGAACTAGGAAGACATGATAAATAATGTGTAGAAACAACAACTGTCATGGGGAACTGCATGGATTTTGAGTTAGAAAACAGAGACTGGCCGGTTTAAATTAATATCAAACTGTAGTGGGTATTTAAAATGTGCAGGATTTGTAGAAATGGTAGTTTATGTGGCAACCTTCAATTCTCAATTGAAGAATTAAAACGAGGAAATAGAAAGGAGTCAATCAGGAAACAAAGTGAATAAGGTATTAAAAAAAATTAGGTACCTACAGGAACTAAGTTGTAGACATGGACTTGCAGGTTTAAATTATTACCAAACCTTGAACTCTAGGTTCAAATTTTTTCGTTATAGTGAACACATTCCAGTGTATACTTCAGAATAACAAGTCGAATAAGTCAAATTGTCAAATTATTACTTTTTCTGTAAAAAACTTATTAATTGTGGGTTTACTCAGATACATGGTACCATACATGGCACATGACATAGGATGAGAAAAAAAGTTGACTAGATGAATATCACTGTAAATTCTGAGGTAAATTCATTCTGGAATATAGGTATATATACAGAAAATAGCATAACATAAGAAATACGAGAGTTAGTTTCAATACGTTTTCAATACCCTGGAAAAATAGGTACTCATTCACACCTTTCTTCATGGCAACTAGCAACTGCTGTTGGTTTCAGTCACTATTGCGTAACAGCATCCAAAGTTGAATTCACTTATAATATCTACTTAATTAAACTAACTGAGGAAATAACTTACATGACATCCCTCCAAAGTGTTTTTATGTATAATATCACATTGTAAAATGTCACTAACATTTCTAGCAGCAGTATAACCAACTTTTAATTTACTGAGAGTATTCCTTAGATTTCCTAATGAATAAATCATGTCAAGCGCCACATTTTTCAAATACAAACTTGTGTTAATCTGCAATAAGTAATGCTTAATAGTATTTTATTATTAGGATTATATCCAGCATTATATTTCAGCTAGGTGAGTATGTATTTTAAATTTAGTTACCTTCAGGGACGACATTTCAAATGGAAGCTTATTAGGTATAATATTACTTTCACAATATTCAATAGAGCTACCAGTTATTGTCAGATTATTTAGCTGAGAACACATATCAAAGATTGGTCCTAAATCTAGTCCTTTTTCTGTATTTTCAGCATCTGGAATAGGACTTCTCAGAAACTCACTGATTGCATGTAACTGAGAAAAAAAACAAAAAAAAAAAAATATATTTTTATCATTAACACAAAATGCATACAATGATCGAATGATCAAAATGGTAAATTTTTCTTAAAACTTATAGATGGGTATCCTACAAAAAGTTCCAATATTTTAATTTGAGTTTACTTTCACATTTTTATGTTTTATACTCAGTGTTAAAGTATGACTTTTTTGTGACCTGTCATCTCAGACCAGAGCTAAAACCCAGAAGTTTTCTGAAAACAACACTTCTTAGAATTAACGCTTCAGGCCACAACTTTCTGATCTACACTTTTGTGCTACTTTACAAAGTCTAAAAAAGGGAGAGAAGCTAGAGCTCCACAAAATGTGCTTTCATATAAAAACCGAGATGAAAACATTATTAACTCTACCAATTTTCTGCTTCAAAATCCTAAACTATTCAATTTGTGAGGAGTCAAGAGCTAATTGTCTGAGAGTGGTATGGGTACTATCTCTATTGAATAAAAGCAGTTTTGGACATCCCTCGGGACATCCATTACCTTGTTTTTATTTAATTTATGTCACATTTTAATCAATGTGTATTTTATATTGTTTTCAAGCGAATGATAATTTCCTTGTGACTAGCACTACTGAAACTTGGTGAATTTTCCAGAAAAAAAAGTAAATTGATTAAAAGAAAAAATCAATCAATGTACCTAATGAAATTCCAAGTTATTTGGTTAGTTTCAGATAGTCTGGGTTAAAATCCAAAAGATGCATTGAAAGTTGAGCAAGCCTAAAAAACAATCAATACTCAACACCTTTGCATTGAGGTACCTATTAGTCTAAGATCCGAATAGGAAAGGATTTGCACCCATCTGTTTATTGGATAAAAATTATTTTATATCAAAGTTAGTATGTTAAAAAAAATATCAGGTGTGGGTTGGCTAAAAAATTCCTGGCCAGACTATTATTAATAAATAATTCAAAAATTATAATTGTTAAAGGCATTGCACTCATTTGTTTAACGAACAAATTCCATACTAATCGAAAGTATAGGGCCTAAAGAATATAAAAACGTTGGATTGTCTATTTTCTTCCTGGCATAACTATTGGGTTGGCAGGTTTGAACAGGTGAGTCGATACTAGTAATTCACACCCATCTGTTTAATGAATAAATCTTACATCAAAAAAAAAGTAATTTTATTGCGAACACGATGATATAGGGTTATCGGCGAAAAATCTGGCCTGAATGACGGTTGGCGAGCTTTGAAAAGCGAAATTTTGGTGCGGATGGAAATATGCGACAGAGTGGTGTATGATTTATACCGAGATTTATACATTAAACAGATGGGTGTAAATTACTAGTATCGACTCACCTGTTCAAACCTGTCAACCCAATAGTTATGCCAGGAAAAAAATAGACACCCCAACGTTTCTATATTCTTTAGGCCCTATACTTTCGATTAGTATGAAATTTGTTCGTTAAACAGATGAGTGCAATGCCTTCGACAATTATAATTTTTGAATTATTTATTAATAATAGTCTGGCCAGGAATTTTTTAGCCAACCCACACCTGATATATTTTTTAACATACTAACTATATAAAATAATTTTCACCCAATAAACAGATGGGTGCAGATCCTTTCCTATTCGGATCTTCTACTATATGGGTTTGCTTGCAGAATAGAATTCCAAACCAATTATTCAATTAAACTTGCAGAACTAACAAAAGGCTCCTTTCATTTTGTTTAAATCCATGTTGTCTGTTGTTTCTTCGAAGATATTTTATTAATACACTAGTGCCCTTAAGTTCCCTGTTTTTTTATATCATTGCTTTTGTATTATTCTCAAGAATTTTCAAAAATTGACCCTTTAACTTCTGTTACTTTCATCAAGATCAAGGATACCCTACACACCAAAAACACACGAAAAAAAAACATTTTCGTAAGCATTTAAAAAAAGTTAGAGAAGTTAAAGCTCAATTTATAAACTTGACGTCGGGATTCCGTTTGCGTTTGCGTCTATGAGATTTCTGATACTAGTGCAGCGAAATAGGGTGAAAAATGTTTCAATTTTTTTTTTTTTTTTTGAGGTATAACCAGATTAAACCTTTGTGATATCATTAGATGCGTCATTGGACATATGGAATGGCCGTTTATGACTTTTTTTAACGGTACCGATTTTTTCTAGATCGAAAAATATGTAAAATTTGTGAAAATAATTGTTTCGTACTTTTTTACACATAACTTGCAATATCTCGGAAACTAATTGTGATAATTGAACAATTTTTTTTTAATCGATAGAGGAAACATGAGCGAACGTAACTGTGCTAATTTGGTTTCCTAGAAATACATAATTGTTTCTGCATATTGGGAGGAAACTCGCACAGGAGGCGCGTCAAGGGAGAAGGGTAGCGTGGCCAGAGATGTTTTCAACTTCAAGTAATACCGATAACTTGAACAGTAGGCATCGTATCGTACTGAAGTTTTTTTAAAAAACTTTCTCGGGGCCTTACCTTTAATTCATATGCGATAGTATGGCAAAATTCCTAAAAACAAAAAAGTTTCTCGCTTACCGAAAAAAGTGCTGCAAAAAACTATCTGTCTGAGTTTCCTCCCAATATGCAGAAAAAACTATGTATTTCGAGGAAACCGGATTAGCACAGTTACGTTTGTCCACATTTTCTCCATCGATTAAAAAAAAAATTGTTCAATTATCTCAGTTAGTTTCCGAGATATTACGAGTTATGTGTAAAAAAGTACGAAACAATTATTTTCACAAATTTCACATATTTTTTGATTTAGAAATAATCGGTACCGTTAAAAAAAGTTGAAAACAGCCATTTCGGATGTCCAATGACGTATCTAGTGATGTAATAAAGGTTTCATTTGGTTATACCTCAAAAAAAAAAATCATGAAGGAAGCGACTTTTTCCTGCACTATATTCACTTGGTAACGGCGTGCTAAACGCAAACGTTAACGTTCGACGGCGAGTTTATAAATTGGGCTTAAAAGGTCCATTTTTTAAAATTCTTAAGAACAATACGAAAGTAATGATAAAAAAAGGGGAACTTAAGGCCACAAGTGTATTAATAAAATATCTTTTAAATTTGCCTATCTATACGCCCACCAAGTTTGGTTAACCTCCCGCCAAATACCCTGTATATCGATCTGAATATATTATGTAAATAACTCGGTAAATAAGTATACTAACCTGTAATGTTGTTAGACTATAGGCTTTCATTGTGGACAATATAAGATCAGCTTCAGTGAAACATTTCGAAGACAATTTTTGCAACAAAAAGTAAATATCGTAGATGTGAAAATCTAAGAACTCAACAAACACTCTAGGCATAGTTCTTTTCAAAAATACTAGAACTGCTTGTAAATAATCTTGCAATCCTTTGCGTCTTGTTTCGATAAATTCGTTTGATTTATTTCCAAGTACTTTTTTTGGAGGAAGAATACATTTTGACACTCCATGGTCAGATACAAGTTTGTTATGCAAATGATAAAACTCACTGTATCTTCGTTTGACTTTCCAGTTAATTTCAGCAACATGAATGACAATGTTATAATATGTTACATTTGTAAAGTCTTCAGTACTCGGAATTTCTATCAGAGTTTCATTTTTATCTTTCCACCAACAAGCCATTTTTTGTGTGTTCTATAGAGGCACTATTATTATTCAGGTAGGTATGCTGCGGCGGCCTCAGGTCTGGTCTGAAGACCTATTTTGTTTGTTCAGCTGCGGGCTGCGGCTTTTCAATCAATTGATATTTGCCTGTATCAGCTAGAAACATAGTAGAAGAGAAAATAATAAAGTTTTGTTCAAATACTTTTATTGGGTTATATTGGTTATATTGGCTGTGTTCTTTTTTTCAAACTGTCAGTTATAGCCTATGTTCCGATATCAACTGTCAGTACTGAATTTACGGACGCCGTTCCGATATTACACTGGATTCAGTCGATTCAGTACTGAATGACTAGAAAAGTACGCTGTTGAAATCGGAACGGCAAATGACAGTAAAATCAGCACAGCACACTGCACAGTAAATCCAGAGCCGCTTTCCAGTATGGGAGTGTGACGCCCGGAGCTACTCGGGGCGTTCAGCTCCCGAGCTGAACGTACGCGTCAACCTGTCAGCTGTCAACTTCGTGGGTGGTTATTTATTTATTTATTCCTTGTTATATCTCAAGATTGAACATTTTAAAAAATATAGTTTGGATTCTCTTTCATTTATGATAAATAAAAAAACAAACTGCACAAACAACAGCCCCCCGATTCTCAACCTCTAGTCGCAACCTATCGACACCGACTTCCCATTGCTTTTCTACAGGGAGTCGGGACGTTACGTATCGACTTGACGATTGAGAATCGGTACCCAGCAGATAATTATTTTTAAAATTTGACATATTTGACACTAAGGCAGGCGTCTTACGTCATGTTACTGGCCTTGCGTTCGGTATTTTGCTCGAAGAGCAGAGCGTGCTGAGCGGAGCCGTAATCACGTGACCAGCGAGGGAACAGAGCAGTTGAACGCTAATTAAAAGTGCCAGAAATTTTAATAAACGAACGCGAATGAGGGTGCACCGAGTACACTTTTTGAATAAACGAACGGTAAAGTCAAGCTCGGAGAACTCAGACCAAAATAACGAACGCACGGTGGAACGGTACAAATCTAGTGCGTGGCGCCCCCGAGGTGCTCTAGAGCGCGCCAATGTGCATACTGGAAAGAGGCTCAGTACTGGCAGTTAATATCGGAACATAGCCTTTTTAATACGCCTTTTTGATCATGAAACCGTTTCAAACCCCGTTCAAAACTGTTTCGATTGTTACGTCATCAATTTGCAGTATGACAAAAATGCACGATTTTGAAACGAATCGCGTGACACTCGTTGACATTTAAAATTGTCAGGTCATATTCATAAAAAAATTCCAAGTTGAAATGCTGCCATTTCCACGTTTTCTTGACGATTTCCATTTGTTAATCAGTGCCAATCAACTATAACCAAAAACTGGAATGCTAACACATATTGACGAACGTGAAGCCTAGTGCCGCTGCTGCGGAGGGGATACCTGTTTCTGTCGCACTCATTATGTTAAATGGCGGAAATTGCTTCCAACACGTATTCCAATTGATGAAACCTGTGAAGGTAAATATGACAAAACTTTCCAAAACGTCATATGTCAGCGAGCAACAGAGAAAAACAACATTCCCCTTTGTGGCATCTGTCTTTCATGGCTACATTTTCTTAGCAGATATGGCAATGTGTGCGCATTCCAGTTTTTGACTATAGTTCATTGATCAGTGCGCACTGAATGTATCCGCATCTTTTTCTTAAAGCATGTAAAATACAAGGATAGGGATACATTTTTTTTGCACTGATTCTACAAATGGAATTTGCATTAAGTCTTCATATCCATATTTGCACTAGCTAATATACTCTTCAGTTGACATTGGCACTATTTACAGTAAAATAGGTAATAATAACAAAAACAACAACAAATGATTTTGAGGTTTTATTTATATAGCCAAGAACATGTCGTACATGACGTCACTATTGCAACACGAAAATAAAGTGTTTCGAACGAAACGGTTTGAAAAAATTTCAACAGAAAAAGACGATTCAAGTAGTCAAAAGTTATAATGATGTCTGCTGCACCGCCGCGGCGATAATCTAGTATACAGTGACTCTATTACCCACAGTGGCGACAATTGCTGTCTTATTTTTGATTGGTTCTAAAATCCCATATGTTTATATTGAAAACGCGGCCATCTTGTTCCCATCTATTGCTTATTTTAAATATGAATATATGGGATTTGGGTGAACATCCATCATAAAACATGGAAAACAACGTATTTGATGGACCTAATAATAGTCATCAAATACGTCGATTTCAATTTTTTATGAACGCTGTCCATTTAAAACCTATAAATTCATATTTAAAAGTAACGAGAGGATGGGTACAAAATGGCGGCGGGACCTCTATTGTCGCCACTGTATGTAAAGGTTTATTTAGCCACTGTAATCTAGTGCAACCGAAAGGCAAGGATAATACACTCTACTAAGGATTGCTTATTAGCCTGGTTTTTGGTACAGTGGCTAAATAAACCTTTACATCAGTGGTGACAATAGAGGTCTCGCCGCCATTTTGTTCCCAAACTCTTGTTACTTTTAAATATTAATTTATAGGATTTAAATGGACATCTATCATAAAACATTGAAATCGACGTATTTGATGGCTATTATTAGGTCCATCAAATACGTTGTTTTCCATGTTTTATGATGGATGTTCACCCAAATCCCATATATTCATATTGGAAATAAGCAATAGGTGGCAACAAGATGGCCGCGTTTCCAATATAAATAAATGGGATTTTAGAACCAATCAAAAATAAGACAGCAATAATTGTCGCCACTGTGGGTGACAGAGTCACAGTAGTTTTTGGTAATCGCCGCCATATTAGTGTGTCACCATTTCCGACGTGTTTAACAAGTCGTCTGATGTTTGCACTAGAGATCGTGGTTTAGAATTTAAATTGATGAAGAAAAATATTATTTAATTTTGATTAACATAATAGGCAAACAGGAAGATGAAAACGAGATCTGTTTTCGATTCGCTTTGGTCCGTCTTCAAGGTTAACCAAATTAGAACCAACCGTTTTCGATTGCAAACCGGTGACGTCACAGGCATCGTTTGGTCCGTCTAAATTCGAACCAGCTTCGCGAGTTGGTTCGAATTTTCCAACCAAGGCCGAACCTGGGTTGCGAATCGAAAACGGCCAATGTAGTAAAACCAAGTATGCATGAAGCAAAAGTCCGCGGAATAAGCTGCAGTGCCAGCAGCCTACGTCAAGGCGAGAAACGACATGCTGCTACGTCACAACTGGTGATTTGGCATGGTGATTTCTTGAAAAATGCCTACTTTATTTATTGTGCCTGGTTTTGGGAGCCGTTCTAATCGCGACAACGTCTCGGTTCTTGCTGTTCCTGCAGGGACAAAACACAGGTTTTTAACGGAGAAAAACGATTTGTCTGTACTTCATAGTGCTTCATGAATTGCAACAATATAGAGAAAAAATCGGACAAAATCCATATTAATTTCTTAGCTGAACTCGACTCGAGCCGACTTTCCGACCAAATGAGAGGGTACTTGCATGGAAAATTAAATTGATTATTGTTTATTGCAAACTGTAGGAAATAGAAAAAAAATCGATGCGTGTTTTTTTATTTTGTCCAAATATCATTATTTCGAAAGTTATACAAATTTTGAGTTTTGTATATACAGTGTCATTACTTAAGTGTGCAACATATGGGATTTTTTTTTAGTAATAGCACAATCAAAATACAAACAAAACCAAAAGTTAGTGCATGTCTGATAATCATATTAGGTGCACTCAGAATGGTTGCAAGTCAAACAGCATACAGGGTGGCTCAAAAAATATCAAAATTCTACTAATATTTACTTAAATAAAATAAAACTTTTGCACTTTCAGGAGAGTTTTTTTAATATGGCTATTATCATTAGTAATGTTTTAACTTGTTAAAAAAAAAATTGCGACATTTTAAAGTTGTGTTGAATATCATTGCAACAAACATGAATTTTGTGATTCCAGAAAAAATTAAAAATCTAAGTTAATTTTACAGATATGCTTGAATTTGAACAAAGTTATGTAAAATTGATTTGATTTTAATTAATTTTTGAAAGTATTAAGGGCGGAAATAAAAAATAAAAAAAATATAGAAATTATATAAATTTTTTTCGAAAGAAAATAAAAAAAATCTTAGGGGGCTATGTTTTGGTATTTAGGCATAACTTTCAATTCCAAACAACTTTTCTCTATAACATTTTGCTGAATTTTCTAAAATAAGGGTACTTTACAGTACCAGCTTTGATATTGTTTGATCTACCCTGTATGCTGTTTGACTTGCAACCATTCTAAGTGTACCTAATATGATTATCAGACATGCACCAACTTCTGGCCTTGTTTGTATTTGGGTTGTGCTATTACTAAAAAAAAATCCCATATGTTGCACACTTAAAAAATCACACTGTATAGATATACTGAGCATGTGCGACGTCACAATGTATTATAAGTTATGACGTCAGAAGGACATTTCAAAGCGTTGTATCCTCGTCAATTTTTGACTTACAAAAAAACGCGTGTTGACTTATTTTTCATGGACTATCGAAATCAGCAATAAAAAAATTTGATGCAAGGGGCCTATTCTGGAATGATGGCTCTGCTGAGCGCACCTAAGAACCGTTTTACACGGCAAAGTTTCTTCACGAAATTATTCACGAAATTATTGCCGAAATATTTCGTAAGTTTATTCTTGTTTCGCTTTTTTCCTGTTTGACACGGCAAATAAAATTTAACAAATGTTTCGTGAAAATACGTCATACGCAGGCGCAGTAACGTTTTGATATCAATTAGGCATTCCAGGTTAATGTCATAACCGATCCGCCATATTAGTTTGAGGGGCACACAAAAGCCAAACATAACCTGATTCAATGTTAAACCAAGAATTTTCAATCTATTTTGTGAAGATGCCTTTCTTTTTGCTGCGTTGTTAGGTGCTCTAGTAGAGCGGAAAGAGATAAAGAAAGGTTTTTCAGGATCCCAGCAGCATTAAGAGATCTAGGGAATCGTCTAAACGAGCTAAAAAAGGAACGACGAAATCTGTGGATTAAATGCCTCAAAAGGAGAGATTTAACTGAAACGTTTCTGAAAAATGCTCGTATTTGTTCAAAACATTTTGTTAATGGTAAGTATTATGACTGTCTTGTTGTTAAAATACAAAAACACATTTATATCGAAAAATTGGTTTGTTTCTACAAATAATATTTACTTTTAATACCTTTTAGGTAGTC